CAACCGGTGTAGAACTCCTACGCAGTGTAGCGTAGGCTGAGCCGGAGAGGGGATGAAGTACCGCCAGAGAGAATGGGAGTACAACAGGTGCAGTTAAGCTGCCCTCACCCTATAATAATCTCTAAGTTCAAAGAAAATAATGGTGCAATTCAAAATAAACCTTCCTGCTACACACCAACAACACCTGTAACAACTTCAATTTACCCCTTCCACTGATAAAATCAGTACCGAACCTGGTCCAAAAGAGCTCCAACAAGTCTAAGACTGTACAGAGTGGTCACCAAGGCCCTTAAACACTCTTGTGATCAACCTAGGGCTGTAGAAAAAGTGAATCAAAGTTTTATACAGGTAGATGATAATGTTTCGCAGTCAAATTTAATTTTTAAAGACTTCTTCAAAACTAATTATTTGAAATAAAAAAATGATAAAAAAAATAATCTTAGACTAATTGATGCTTGATTGGATCTTGTATGAACTTCTACTAGGCTGCTTAAACTATAAAAAATCTACTAATTTTTTACTAAAAAAACTATTTGAATATCTCTAAAACTTGATGAAATGCCAAAATCACACACTACTGTAACAAATTTCACAACACCAAAACACAGATTTCACACGATAGACTCTTGATACTATTAAAAGACTAACACTAATACCCTTATAAGGGTTTAAATAACTCGATAACCCTTTAAAGGGACTCTAACAAAAAAGACACAACACTCGATAACTCAATCAAAACGAAAAACTAACACTTTAATACTCAATAGATGGACACACACGAACAGACGATAACGGACACTCTCCTCAACTAAATCAACCCACTCTTCTTATACCTAACCACCTCGATCACAGCCTTGTATTTCCTCTTATTCAACCTTCAAATTCGATCGATTACGTCATTCAATCTCGGATCGATCTTGTTCTATCTTCGCATCTAACGTAAGTCCTTTCTGTTTTCTAACTCTATATTAGTTTCTTCTTCTTCTTTAGTTCTTTCATAAACTAATTATTCATTCATCTTCTTACATCCTTTTAGGTTGATTCTAGATTTGTTCTTTTAGCTTTCCAGATCAATCGATCATTTCATTTCTAAGTTTAAATTTGTAAGTTCTTTTCTACTTTCTTCTTTTAGTTTGATTATAGTTTAATTCTTTCATATACTAATTGATTATTTGCTTATTCTTCTTTCCTAACCTGAATTCTAGATTTGTGTTCTTTATCCTTTTAGATCGATCAATTCGATTTTTAAGTTCTAAATTTGTAAGTTCTTCTATTTTCATTATTCTCTTAGTTTAATTCTTTCGTATACTAACTATTCATTTCATTCTTCTTTCTGTCTTCATTTGATCTTAGTCTGTTTCTGGATTTGTGTTCTTTAGTTTTTTAGATCGATCAATTCAATTTTGAGGTTCAATATGTAAGTCTTTCATCTTCTTCTTTTAGTTTGATCCTGATTAGTTCTCTTTAGTCTAGATCCTGTTTCACTAGATTGATTCAATTTCTAAGGTTATATGTGTAAGTTTTCTTTCCATTTTCATTATTCTTTCAATTTGTGATTTGTTTATTTGAATTTGATGAATTTAATGTCTTTCTTTTGTTGTTTCCTTTTGATCTAGATGATTGAAATTGATTAATTAGTCTGCCTGAGTTGAATGAACCAAAAAAAAGTGATGTTTAGAATGAAACAAGAAGAAATCAATAAATCATTTGTTTCTTATCAAATGTTGATCTTGAATTGAATAGAATAAAAAGTGATGAATAATAAAGTTAAATTGTAGAATTTTTAATTTGAACTTAATTGAACTAAAAATATTGAAGCTTTATGTTTGAAAAAAGAATAAAAGTATATTTGAAATGATTTAAAAAAAAGTATGAGTGTTAAGAGAATGATCTTAAAAAACTTGCAGGGTATTTTGATAAAATATTGACACTGAGTTTGAAAGAAAAAATTCTAAAAAAAAATAAACTATTTGTTTTGAAGAAATTGATCAAACTATGATTTGAAAAAATGAGATGTGTAAGAATTGAGAAGTAGATAACTTTTGATTTCCACAGCGGTGTCGAGGTGCGCGTTTTTTCGCATTGGAGATGTAAGTGGGGGTAGGCTGGTCTGGTATATTCACCGCCCTATCTGCTTTGGATTTGAGTCTGTCAAAGAGCTCATGATGCGTAAGCATCCTTTCATCATGTGGACCTCTAGGAGGAAGGCGTGTTTGTGCCATTGCGGAGGACTCAGCAACAGGTTCTTGTGCTGATGTGTGGTCATCTATTGTAGTTTGATCAGTGTGACGGATAATATTTCCTATATCACTTTGAACATAGTAGTTCTTGTTTCTACCTTTTCTTATTGTTACACACTCGTAGTGAGTGTCAATCTTTTGTTGTTT